TACATTTTAGCAAACACATTTATCTTCATTACTATGAGGACATGAGTTAAATTATTTGAAACATCATATTGAAAGCTTTACAAGAATAAATATTTTGTGAATAACTTCTAAATTTGAAACAAATGTTTAATATCTTATTATAACTATAATTATTTAATTACTAAATTTTAATGTTAAATATGAATAGTATATTTAACTTCTAAATTTGAAACAAATGTTTAATATCTTATTATAACTATAATTATTTAATTACTAAATTTTAATGTTAAATATGAATAGTATATTTAAAAATATATATTACACAACAAAAAGCATTGAGTTATAGATTGACTTCCAATTTAATCAAAGAAAATAAACTTCTTCATTCAGTAAATCATATTTTAACCATGTTAAATAAGAAACTAAAACATATAACATTTGTTTGAAAATATGTTTTTAATCATAGAAAAAAAATGAAAAGTTACCACTATCTTTCTATTACTAATTGCTGTTATATATTCATCCTAATAAATGTCCAATTTATTGAACTGAATAATATTGGATTACATGAAAGTAACTGATAATGGTTGAGCTTTTCATTTTATAATCTTTCACAAACTTATTTATAAACAATACGAGTTATCAATCTATAACCCATAAGGTTCAGAGATATTTTAAATTGATAAATAAATGGAAAAAAAGATAAAAGACTCGCAGGTCACCCTCGATACTTTATATTGAATAACGAATATGCTAAAAATATTAGATGTTTTCACCAAGTATACTTATAAAACTACTGTAGGACATGAGATACTAGAACTCTGCGAGCAAGAAATTGGCGAATTATATGTACTCTGATACATTTTTTTATTAAATAATGAAATTATTTTATAGTGGGAAATAATTATTTTGTAAACGTAGTCAATAATGTACAAATATTTCACTTCGCAATTAACATCAAGCCATTTTTAAAAAAATGCATACCAACGTATTAATTAGTTTATTTATGCAGCTGTAATAATTTAATTGGAATAATGGTTGTACAAATAGAACACTTCAACTGGTAACCATCAACTCATATCATTTAACTGTTGACGAGATATTATCTTTCATAATAGAGTCTTATGCATTTATACAAAATACATTCCGCTCTAATTTAAGACGTGGAACAGTATAAAATTCATGGTTTTATTTTTGAGTTTCTCTGTCATGTGTTGAACGGCTATTTACGCAACATTATAGTCACAAACCTAGTTCAAAGTGAATGAAAAAGCAAATCTAACTTATTAAGTTTTATGTATTAGTAAGATTTGGTAAATACCATAACTATCCATTTTTCTGAAATTAGGTGAGTTCAAGATGATTGAAACAAAAATATGTAATGTGTTTGAATTCAGCATGTTTTAAAATAAAAAGACAGACTTAAGTGGCAAGACTTAGAAAGAGCTGAATAAGAGATGAATAAGGCAACAATAAATAATATTAGATATTACCTTCAATATTGTATAAATTGACTTTATATAGAGAGGAATCTCCAAGTAGTTCACATTTTCGTATGACAATGGTTCATAAACCCCTAATCGTTGATCAGAATGAAGGTGAACTCTTCACTTGGTATGTATATGCATAAAATCGTAGAGAGTTGAAAATTAACTCATCGGTATTGCATTTATGTTGATTAACTGTGAATAGTTTTATGAAACGTCATTTTCAAGTTAATCTCTTATTATTTAAGAAAAAATTATTAAGCCAAATATCGATTTTCCATGCACAGATTTTTAATTGTAGTAATCTTTTTCCTACTCATATTATATATATCTGTATCTTAATGTTTACGTTTTCTGTAGTTATTTTTTTTAAAAGTTGATGAGCAGTGCCTAAAATTTAAACAAGGCAATATATCAAGATTCAACTGAAATTAGATTACAGATTACTTTTGTTGATAGGACTGAAAAACGTGTATTCAGATTTTTTATAAACTATTGGAATATATTAGTACAGAGAGTTTGCAGAGATTAGGGAAGTGTTTGTAGTTTAAATCAAATACTAATCCTAATTAAACAAACATTTAAACCAGGAACCATTAAACAGCTGTTCCGTTCTCATAGGAGACTTCTCAACGGTACACATTCACGACTCCGTTAAGGAGAGAACCGAGAATCTTAAAGTCTCGCGGTGATCTCTAAGCTTCTGTATCAACGGGTTGGCATTCAATAGTTTGCATATCTAATTTCAGTAAATACTCGATATAGGACGGCCATCTTCCATAGCTTGCAGCTGATAACTATTTGATGTCCCGTATGATCGAACCCTGCTAGTCACGGCTTCTCAGTAAAAACCATGAAATTACCAGTCGTAGTTTATCGCTAGTGAGCACAAGATTATTGCTGGAGACCAATAAAATTTCACAGCATGATACACAGCAATATCGCAAATCGATTGAGGTAAGGCACGCACACCAATGAATGCTGGCTCGATAGTCTGAATGTTAAGTAGTTATAATGAAACCGAAAGTCCTGGGTTCGATCTATGGTGGGGTCCTTGATGCACACTTCTGAGGAGTTTTATAATAGAATGAAAAATCTGTCTAGTGGTTCTTGGTTCTAGATGGCTGTCCAGCTATGAATGGTATGTGGTGTGAAGTATTAGTGTTGAAGTATTCTAAATCCAGAGCGAGTACTTTTGTGTACTAAATAGAGAAGGGTGAGTTAAGGAAACAGTTGAATAACTCTCGTAAAAATAAATGTAGTGCATTGATTGTCCAAATATTTACCCGAGCTTTAAATCTTTTAAATACATGAGCAAGAATGAGAAGTGAAAATCTCAGCAGGAAAATCGATTCTCTTTAAGAATGACAACATCAAGCTTCTAAAAATAGTTTATATAAATAAATAAGTTTTTAAAATTAGTTATGAAAAACTAAAAATTGAAAGTTCCCAACTATTGGAATGCAGAAAACATGTAGAAAAGTGACTTTAAAAAATGGAACCTGAGAACCAAAACTCATTTCAACCAATGACGATGCTGTTACCATAGTATCTTTGTTGGACTGTTGGTATATATATATATATATATATATATATATATATATATATATATATATATATATATATATATATATATATATATATATATATATATTGTAATCCAGTATGTTTTGGAAAAGTAAATTTCATGTCATTTGATGTAGTCAATTTAAAACTGTAATGAAGAATTTTTTTGAAGGATTTTCGGCATTTATGAATGTTTTGTGTCTACCATTTCCCGCTATCAAATTTGGGTTTATTTGGTCACTTTTTGTATGCGATAGTGTTTGACACTGTAATGATTAACTCAATAATACTCCTAACTGCATCCAAATAATTACTTTATGTTTCGTTTAGACCCACTTAACGGCTTATATTTATTAATGTGCCCATCCTTAATGAGCACTGACTTAATTTCTTATTCATGTAAAATCTCTCCATGTATGAATGAGCTATTTAAAGGATGTTTACATTCACTGTATGGTTTTAATTATAAGATAAACCAGATATTAATAAACAAGTGCTTGGTAAGCTCGATGGTAAAACTGTAAGAAAAATAACCCCTCTGGCCTATCTGAATGGTAGTTTTACTGTTATTCAGACATTTACTCACCTGCATTATTCTTTTGGTATTCTTGAGTTCCACTTAAATAAAGCTCTAAGGTCATTAATTCCCTCGTTTTTAGATAAATCTTCCTTGAAAAAATACAAACCAGGAATTACAATAGTTAGTAAGGCTGCAATAGCTTTACAAATTTATAGGCATTATAGACGTTGAAAGAATAGTTTTCTGTATAAGATTAGGTTATTCTTATTTTTCAGTAATGAAAGAAAAGCGTTCACACTCTAAATTTAAATACAATCACCTCAAAATTATAGTATATCATGAAGATATGATCTGCATTAAATTAACTTACAAAACGTTGTGTGAAATGGATGTGTTAAAATGTTTTAGATAGAATTCAGAATATGTGTAGTCAACCAAGTTTGAGTTTAAATGAAATCCAGCAACGGCTGATGGTTCAGAAATATCCAGAATTCAGTGTAAAAGCTAAACAGCTGGTCTTTGACCAAGTGAATGAATGGTGTAGTATTTTTTGAGAAACCAATAAGTGTTGAATTTGACCCCATATAAGATTTTTGTTATGTAATATCGACGTATACAAACCTAAAACAGATAAAAAATCTACCGTTGTTTCCTCTAGTATGCCATTAAATCTCCGATCAAGATGAAACAATCCTTCAAACTAAGTAAGTCTGCTGATACGCACTAAAACGTCCATATAACCTCCATCTCATTATATGTACCTCGTCAGATTCCAACCTTTGAGAGATTTATCACACTATTATGGTGTATCAGAAACACGTGTGTAAACGCACTAACTAACTGATTTAAAAAACTGTTCAAAGATAAAATCACAAAACGAAATAAGTAAACAGTGAAAATATTTTCTTAAGTTCCAGTTTTATCTTACTTAACAATGGCAGTCAAAGGTAGAAAATCAAAGTGCCAAGTTCAGGAAATACAAAGTTTCTTAGTTGAACATGCTTCTTACCTCTTATAAGAAAGGAATGATGACAGGTTTACCGTAACATGTGAAAGTATATTATAAAGATACGAAAACATATGACAATCAATCCCGAAACATCTAAATGATTCAACATAAGCACAAAGAAGGGAAATTTGGGAGAAAAAAACACTGGATATCGATAACGATCACAATTTTCATTTGAAACAAACTTGTCAAATTAAGCAATATATATGAACTACGTTTTTGTAGACCAAAAGAAGACGTAACAATTTACATGAAAGTGAAACAAACATGCATGTTATTACATATGATGCATAGATTTATAAATATTTTTGCTTTATTTATTATTGCATCCACTATTTTTTGCTAACTAGTCAACAAATTTATGTATTAAAATTAAGCAGTTAGTGTTATCGTAACTAAAGTATTCATAAATCTCTTGATCATCTTACTCTTTTTATAGGCAATCTAAGTGAGAAATATCAAAATATATTTCATCGAAATCCACTTTTTGTTGGTATGAGAGTTCCATTTGCAAAAGAAATTGATCCATTGGATAAACGATTAGTTAAGGTTTCGAAACTAACTCTTGGATTTATAAAGGTAGTTAAAAACTGTGACACGTATTTTATATTACCTAAGAAAAGAGAACAAGGAAAGTATGGTAATCATTTAAATGAGTAGCCGCTTACTGAGTTATAATACTAATTTTAGTAAATATATTTGAAATTATACTTTATGAGTTGGCAGAGTTTGGAATCCGAGTATCACCGTAATTTTGGTTTTTCGAAATCTGTTTTATTTGTGGTTTTTGTGGCAGTATTAGCATTGTTTTTATGTTGAGATGGAAAGTCTTAAAGTGAAAAACTGCAATAGCATCGCTGATGCATGAAGTGTTAATTACATTTAAGCTATCGAGATATTAGTCAACTAATATGTGCATGATAAAGACTTATTGCTGCAAAGATAATACTTGAGTCTGCATATTCATTCACTTTGAGAGACATTTTATAGCAAAATTAACACTACAACAAACCGAAAACTGTTTAACTGATAAAGAAGAAGAATTTTGTATTTGATAAGATTTCCCACGAGTAACTGAAAAATTTTGAAACTCCATTATCTACTATAAAGTCTTGACAATAGGTTAGGTTATGTTGTATTCCACTACAAATAAAATGATAAAAAATAAGCCACACATGCTCGGGCACGACTTTTATGCTGATTCAAAATGTTTTAGTTATAGAATCATGCCAATAAATTTCATATGCCATTGGCTTAAAATTATGAATTTAGTGTGATAACATATGTGAAAGTATAGAATAATAAATACAAATTATAGTAGGAATTTCGAACATTTTCATTTAATTATCAATCATGTCATGAAAATTATAACGCACTCATCAAACCAATAAATTAAAGTTTGGAACATAGATGATTCTGGGACTTCGTCATAGTAATTTATGAAGAATCACATGAAAACGAAAACACGCTTGTTGGTATTAAATAATTTAAAATTATATCCCATAGAAGAAACTCCTAATTAGTATGGGGGTTTAAAATTTTTCCTGTATCAAGTTGATGTAAATATCAACTAATGTACATCAAACCTTTATTAATGAAATATTAATTTTTGAAACATTAGGCTGATAAAAAAGCCTGAAAATAGAATGAATTTACCAGTATGGGGTTTTGGAGATTGTTGAGTGTTTGATTAAGATCATGAGTCGATGAACGTTAGACCACGATCGGAAACCTGAAAGCACTGAACGACCGTTTCGTCCTCGTAAGAGACTCTCCAGCAGTGCTCATCCACGATCCCTCACTGCTAAGGAGTCCCTTACTAGGAAGAAACGGTCTTCCAGTGCTTCCAAGATTTTGATAGTGGTCTAACATTCATCGACTCGTGATTTCAATCTAGAATATTTTCGTCTTTACTTTGTTTAAGGTTTCCATTGGACCATGTTGTATGAGGCTTTTTGATGACTTTCCAAATGTGACCGTATAACGTCCATATAATCTGAACAATCAATATAAAATAATGTAAATAGATATGATATTTGAAGAGGTGGTTATTCACAGCTCTATATTCACAAGTTATACTCTGTATACTTGATTTTTATTAACCTATTCTTCCACACAATTATAAATATTTTGTTATACGTAAACAATAACTTTCACTTAATTTGTTTTTGAATAACCTTGAATATTTTTTAATAATTTACAAAATCTTTAAATATTCATGGTTTGTTAGAGTTGTCTTCGAATCGATGCTAACGATCGACCGACATCATCTGCTCTTTTACGAAGTGAATATTTCACTAGTGAGAATTTCGCATCTATATTCTTGGAAGAGCTAAAAACATTAATTAAAAGCGAAACAAACTCAAATGTACCTTCATCCTCGACCAATATCACCAGTAGCAAGAATACCGTTAATAATCTAAAGAATAATAATAACCAAACACAAGTTAAAAATGATCAACAATGTAAAATCAGTAATAATAACAGTGATTTTGTGCAGTCAAAGGTTTCTAACACAACCGCGACAACGATGACACCAATAATAACTTATATTACTACTACTACTACTACTACCACTGCCACTGGTAATACATGTACTGATACTAGCACTACAACAACTACTGCCGTTAAACATTTTTTGTCAGATGTAATGAATGTGAAAACCCAAATAAAGATAAAACAATAACTCCAGATCATGTTGATTTGTCAGTAACATCACAAGCTGGTCTACATAATAATGAAATTACTGAAGTGAGTTGTCTCAGCACATATTGATTTACACACATTCTAACTTGTAACAATGTTTAATAATTGACTAGAATTGTTTTAATTATGCAAATTGAATTGAATATTTGATGCAAATGAACTATGAAGTTGAATTGATATCATGAACGGACCAATGTTAACTACCATTGAAAACCTAGAAGTACTAGACGGCCGTTTGGCCTTACGTGGGACTCCTCTGTTGTGAGGCAGTTACTGGCTGGAGATAATAGTGAGTGGTCACGCAATACCGTGGATTGGTTGAAGTTAGACATCAACACCGTTGAAAGCTGGCTCAGTGGTCCAGAGATTAAGCCTTCATCCACAAGACTGAGGACCCTGGGTCTGAGTCCCGCTTGCAGGATCGTGGATGTGCACTGCTTAGGGGTCCCATGCTAGGACGAAACGGCCATCCAGTTCTTTCAGGTTTTCAGTGATGGTCTAACATTAATCCATTCATGAAACCAATTTAAACAGAACAATGTCCACAACCCTATACTGATAAAATTATGGATTGTGTTTTTTAATATTTAATAACCTACATCTAGCTAGATATAATAAAAAACGTAAATTTACAAATTATTTTAAACTAAAATGATAGAAATAACAGATGAGTCGGTTTTATTTATTCACATTTTTGTGAATATCATTACAGCAATTAAAGAAAAAAGAATTATAGAAACTCAGTATAGTGTCTTGGAGTTCAATAAAAACATGGACCAATTTCACAAAAATTTACTTTATTAAAATACAAAAAATCTTTAGTTAACCGACTATTTCGATACTGAATGTTAAAATTTAAGCTTTGCTGTAATTATAAATGTACTGTAAGTAGTACCTCTGTATTTTCATATAGTCTATAAATTGATATTACTATGTATGTAACATGGAATGAACTCTTTTATGAGCCTGTCTGAAGATCGTGTGTTAAACCGATAGTATTTAAAACCTAATGTATTTGTCTATTAACTTCTGTGCTTATCAGATAAGTATAACAGTAGTTCAGTAATCAGAAAAATGAAACTTTCCACAAAATCGACATAAACATACTCATTACAATTTTTCGGCATAATAGTTTTATGTACAGTGAACCTACGGATATTTGTGACGGGTCATATATTTAGTAAGTGGTTAGTGTTATCTATTTAAGTGTTAACGAGATTCAGTTAAGTAAGTTTTTAAAGAAGTAAAATAAAGTTTCTTCTTATATCTGCTAATATTTATTAACACCGATGTTGGGAATAACTCAAATTTCGTTTCTCCTCTGGCTTAAAATCTTTCAATCGATTTTGCAAAGACTTATATCGGAATCGTTAAATATCACGACTTGAATTTTCAGAGCAATTAGAATATATGAGATAATACTGTCGAATTTACATTGTGTGAAAGGTGTTTTTCAAATCCTGATAATGGTTTTCATGAAGCAATTGTAGCACATATTCAATACATTCCTAAATGATCAAGACTTACATAATCTTTTCTATAATTTTGAAGATTATTATTCTTATCAACATAAATGTGAGATAGTAATTTACTGATAACAACGCTGGATGTGTCGCTTAATTTCGTTGATTAGTTGAAGTTAGACATTAACACCGCAAGATGCCGGCTCAGTGGTTTAGTGGTTAAGCGCTCACGCGCGAGACCAGTAGGTCCTGGGTTTGAATACTGCGAGCCGAGGTCGGTGATACGCACTGCTGAGGAGTCCCACAATAGAACAAAACGCCTGTCCAGTGCTTTCAAGTTTTCCACGGTCGTCTAACTTCAATTGACTCATGATCTCAACTATTGAAATTACTAAAATCTCCATAAAACCCCTTCTGATAATAAATGGAACAAACAGTTTGCTATGAAGGCTTCATAAATGATTGTACATATGTTACTTCTGCAAGAATAAACCTTTTGAAAGACTGAACTTGATTACTTCTATCTCGTCTCAATAAAAATTACTTAAAAATAGAAATAAAATGACTTTGTATGAACAGATTTACTAATTCAACATAAAGATTAAACGCTGATTCGCATATCATCAACAGTGTTTCTGATTTGTATTTACAATTTATACTCAGTAAAATTTGATTACTATCATTAAGACGTTATTAAGTTTCTCAGAATATAGATTTCTTTTAGATATCTTCTTTATGAATAGTCAAAGAAAAAAGAAATACATCTGCAAACTAGTTATAAGGTGAATGTTTCTAATAGTTCATTATAAAAACAAAATTGTTCATGAAAGATATATATTACACATTCTTAATATTTTTTATATAAACTCGATTTAAATATATCAAATAGATTTATGATACCGTATCTACTTTCATTATTAAGAGGCCATTAAAGTCTTGTATAATTATCAGTATACCTTGAACGAATTTTTTTCCAGATTATTTATTGATTTTATGCACAAAACATATTTACAAAAATATTTTATTTTTAGCGAAATAAATCATCCAATATTTCTACCGATTTTTCAAGTAATACTAAATCTACACAAATGGAAGGGAATAAATTAAAATCTACTATGGCTGATGAACAGGTTAACTTAACATATGTAGCGTCTAAAGCAAGAATTGCAGTTAAATCTCAATTATATAATGAGTATTTAGTACATGATGAAAATATTGATCCACATGTTAGTTAAACGTTTTTATTTCTTTTATCTTCATTAAATTTCCTAATGATTTTCTTTTACGTTTCTTAAACCTAGTTCATTCAATGTTTTTTTTTTCGTATTTTTCTATTTTCTGCTCATATAACCATTGTAAACTATGCACATTATAATAAAAGTAATTCCAGTTTTATACAGTTTTGTTCATCGATCATTTTTATATGATAATATCCTTAAACAACCTTCTTCGAATCAAATGTATGTAAATATCAGATTATTTCCCATTAAATACGATTAAAGTAGTTGTTTCAAACTTAAATAGACTTTTCTTCTTCCAAACAGTCACTAATATTTAGCATCCTCGAAAAACGTTTTCAGGAGTCCGACAGAATGTTGGAAATCTGATAAGATATGTATTTACTTTGTAATAGCTTAATCCATTCTTCCTATGTTTGGTTTTCTATGAGAATATGGTCCTTTCAACAAAACAGTCAATTAGATTCACTCCGTCGAATATCAACTCTCTTTTCTTGGTCCGTTTTTACAGTCATATAGTAAAAAAGGTATTACCAGTGATTTGTGTCTTGAATATATTGCATACCGGCAATCTTAGGAAAACTGGTGCTTCCTGAGAAATTCGGCCCTGGATCACCTGCTAACTAGCTCCAACCACTTAAAATCTTGACATAGTACATGTCATGCAAAAACATCTAGGCTAGTGATCACATTGCAACCCGATTGATACAGTTTTATCAGTCTTAAACGACTGAAAAACGTCATATTTGTCACTACTTAGTTATTAATCAATCGTATGAAATTATGAAAAGCTAAGTGAAGTTTTGTAGAAAAAATCAGTTTTTGCATATTCAAAACCACAAGTTTTTGGTTAATTCATCATCTATTCCGATGCTTTTGCAAAAAGCATATGTGCTAGATAGGGTAATGTAGACCTTTTGTTCTTTTCTTTGATTACTTGAACATTTTAAAGTATAACCAATTAACAATAAACACTTTTTTATTTTCTATCTTAAGCATTTGTTAGATACAATGAATGTTTCAAAAAAACAACACTATGGATCAGATAATGTCTTGAATAGGAACGATGATTCTGATTCAAAAGAATCATTAACAGTAACTGAAAAAATGAATGATCGATTGAATGAGATGCCTTCTATTCCACAAGTACGTAGTTTTATGTGAAAACGTAAAGTAAAACTATGTTGAAATATTACAAATTTAGACAGTTAATATAAAGCATTTTAACCTTTTATTACAGTCTTGTAATCCGATTTTTTAGCCTTGGTTAAAAATTTCTCTGGTTTATGAAATCACGAATTTATTTACGTATGGTACTCTCCAGAGGTATTCATTCTCGACCCACCAAGGATCGAACCTAGGATCTTGTCTAATATTACTGAACAGGAGATTTGAGCATGATGGAAAATAAGAAAAATTTATTCATGTACAGTCATATATTTCATGATTTTATTACGGCTCAATGGAAAAATTGTATTTAATATTAGGTATATAAACTTGATATATAAATTTATTTATGTTTTCTAGAAATTATGAGATGATTTCCTGATGAAAAAATAATTAGAGGGTTATCAAACCCTTCTTAACATACCACAGTGCTATATCAACCTACTATCCCTGTAGTATATTACATAAAATGAACATCATCGCTGTCACAAGAGTGAGTCTACGAAGTTCATGTTCTGTGGAGCTCGGTTATGTAATTCATTCGCATGCTCATCCACACTCTTCAATCATAGTCAATTATCAAACGTTATGAGGTTTGCCTTCATATATTCCGTCAACTTAATGGAAAATGATTTTTAAGTACAGAGTATTATGTTCAAATTAATAACTAGACATAATTGCATTCACCATGAGATTGTAACATAGAAAGCTTTGTTTTGAATAGAATTAAGAGTGTAATTCGATTAAATGTGTTGTTTTCTGATAAAAACATATCTAATTCACTTTACTTTTATATAATTCCTCAAACTAACTTAATTTCCTACAAATCACATAAAACCAGTTTAGCAAGAAAGTTTCGGAAATTTATACCACATTGAAGCAAATATACTTTTATATATTCTGTTCACGACAGATACATATTATGTTCAGAATAACTTTTATCAGAAGTATTCCTTTTGAAAATTATTTACCATATTGTGCAATATAAATTTCTAAAGAATATGTTCGGAAAACTTATTTTTCTTTAATATATAATTATTATTATTAGCTCATATTATTCAGAAAGAATATTTCTGATCACTAAGATGAATTCTCGATATTCTGTTAAAAAAACAGCGCACAACTCACACTTTCGATTCACTTTTTAGTTGAAGTAATAATTTCAAAGTAATATATGCTTTTTGAATACTACACAAATTGATTTATTAATACATTCAATAAATCAGATGTAGTTTCATTTTATTGCCGCTAAGGAACACTTTTTTTTCGATGTAACCAGATTGATTAAACTGTAGCAGACGGACCAGAGTTAAACCTTTCAGCTCAGGAGCTGAAATTTAAATAAACAAACTATTCAGCCACTGATATTAAGATATATAGTAATTTATCGTTCTGAAATGTACGTTCTCAAGTATAATTATACTTATTATACAAATTATCTATCCATCTAGGACTCAGTTTATTGAGTCGTTAAATTCCTTTTCTTTTCTGTTAAAACTATGAAAAAAGTATTAAAGTTAACTTGTGTAATCAATTAATATTTAAGATCATTTTGATTATAATCAATAAAGTTTCTACCATGTCACCAATGTTTTTTGGCTTTTTTTAAATCAGAAGTCATTTGGTTTACTTACAACGGTTAAATGTAAGAGCCCAAAACCAACAAATCCAATCTCGAAGTCTATATTAGAAGATTTACGTGAAACTTTGAATGATACTGACTTATCCTCTGCTTCCATATCAATATCCCCGTTACAGGTTACAAATTTAACCATTAATAAACAGTCATTAATAAATACTACTAACCAATCCCCGTTCAATAGTGGTTTTGTTGCCAAGGTTCGTTGATGGGGTCAAATTATATATATATATTGTTTACAATATGCATAAATCTTATGCACTATAAAAAAATATGAATCAATTCCATATTATTCAACTTAATTATAATGTTAAATTCATCAATAATACACCATTGATTGTTATAATATGGTGGTCAGCTATTTATTATGTGTTTAGTAATTTTCGATGATAAAACTTATATTTAAGGTTGATATGTCCTTCTTCACCAATAACAACATATATTTTTTACGCTAAGATTATAATTATTTATTTGTATTTATAGCAGTCATCTGGTTATCACTTTTACTATTTGAATCAAATCATTGATTTTGACTGATAATATATATTATGTATCTGGATTTGATGGGTTGCGTTGTAGAAATCGATATTACCACTCTATAGAAAACAAACAAATCACTAAAGATAGTTTTACATCATGAAGTATCATTGAAAGTTAAGAACATTGGACTATTATATCATCTTATGTTTGACCTCTTTTAATATTTTGAGTAGGCTCTTGCGAAAAAAACTTCAAAAAATAATAATAAATCACTGACAATTGTACTTTGTTTCCTAATGATTTCTATTTAATAACAATTCATAACAGATAAATAATATTCAACCTGAATCAATCTCTACAATTCATTCACCTTAAAATATTATTTAAATCCATTGTTTTTCCTACTAGTGTAATAATTTCATTCTGGAATTCTCACTTGTTATTGCCCTTCTAATAAAAAAATACAGATAAGATACATTTAAAGATTTCGTAATAATAATAATAATCGATATACTAAATATCGTATATTTGCATACACCAAAAATTTCACAGCACAAAATATGTAGTATCTCAGTAAACTTCCGTTTCTTAACCTTTTGGAATTAAAAAAAATTAGTACTAAATGTTTTACAAGTGATTATCTACCATTCATTTTCTTTCATAAATGTTCACAATCAATCTTGATTCCATAACACTTATTTCGTCGCATAATGAATTTGATGTATTTTATAGCAATTACCTCTGATATCTACAAAGAACAGATGAAAAGAAAAATGAACCAAGAACTAATAGTTCCTTCTAAATTAGTGTTACGTCTTAACCGCTTTACAAAAGTATTTAAGTACATGTGGTCATCACGTATAATCGGTCAGCTAAAATAAATAAAACAGAATGATCTATGTTAATAAATGTGAACAGGTTCCTGGATAAGTTACATGATAAATTACTTTGACAGTAAAATTCACACTTGCGATATGAGTTCATGGTTTGTATGTAATTCTGTTACTAATAATTGTAGAACTTTCTTCGTAATGAACCAGAAGGACCTAAATCGAGCAAAATGTTTACAGTTACACCGTAACTATGAATCTTTATATATGCTTTTCTTATTATAACGCAGATTACCAAAGTGCCAAACGAACAAATCGACTGTACTTCAACAGTCATAGAATCTTCTGTAAACAAATATTTAGACACAAAAGGTGGAGACTCACAACCTAAGGAAATGACTTCAAATAAACGTTTACCTTATCTTACTTTAGGTCAGACTAGCAGCTACCATTTTTTTCCACAACAGTATCGAGGAGTTTATCAAAATCCTCTAAAATCAGACCAAACAAATACGTATAATCCTGGGACTGTTTCTTCAGGAATGGGATTGTCTTCACTGTCACCACTGTTAACCAATAGTCAAACAGTTAGCAAGCACGAAAATAACCCTACTTTTCAGTCTACCAATGTTTTGACATCTTCATCCATCGCTTTGCAGACATGGACAACACAAATAAGTTCTTCTAATACAAGCAACTCATCCAAGTACGTTCATCTCTTTTTTAAGTTCGACGAAAACATTGAGTAGTTTCTCTTTTTTTGTTATTATCTTTCGAAAGATTGTTAGTTTAAACAAACGTCTCAGCAAAACTCATAGATAAATCATTATTTCACTCGGAAAGTACATGATGTACCAAAAAAGTGGGATTTTAGTGTAAGAAATGATTTAATTTTGTGTAGCAAATTGTTACATAAATCCCCTAAATTTTTCTCTCTATTTCACACTTAATCTATTTACTAACTAAGTGAAACTTTCCAAAAACCAACATGTTTAGACTATAATATAAATATAATTGTTTTCTATTGTTTGTAAATGACTAACTGCTTCATATGGTTTTGGTTAACATGTAGTAGTTGTAGCTCTTTTCCATACAAATGAAACAGATATGAAAATTTTATAGTAATCATTTGTTGTCTGTTATGTTAAATAAACAGTTTGAACAGTTGAATAAATTAATTAATCAAGGCTTATCTCCTTAAGTGTGACTAATGGGAGTTAATCAAATAAATTCTGAACAATTCGGTTACATACATATTTGTAAGATGATTGTCTAAAATCTATTGAATAAATCATACTTTTCAGTTCAACTCTGTCAAATTCAAAACACTTTTGGAATTTATAAAATAAACTGACGGTTTGGAAAGACTTTAATCAATATTCAGGATGTATTTCTCGATTGATTAAGGACTCCTTAGCTAGATGTTTCTACGTTTTAATGTTGATGTTCTGAGTGATCTTCTAGAACTGTAAGACAGTTTTCCATCAAAATAAGTAGTAATGATTGTGATCAATTGTTCAAAGTTTATAATATACATGTGTATGTATACATTATTTCCTATGTTTCCTCTTTATCTTTTGAGGGATTCAAAAAGTCGACGATATTATCAACCTCCAAATCACCACAGCAAATCAACATTTTCTTTGCAATTTCCTATGAATATCAGTCATTCAGTTTGTCAACCGATTTCAACTTCGCTAAGCAATCACTATCATAATCATAATCACCATCTCTCCATACTGCAGCCAATTGGTATTATGCCTTCTCCAAATATCTTTGATACAAATCATGATTATTTACATCCCGAACAGACTGAATCACGTAGTTATATTGGTCATGTAAATTTTTCAACACGTTCACCGCTACAAACTTTGTCTCAACAGAATGTTTTTAAAAAATCATTTACATCAAATAGTACAACTGGTACAAGTAAACAGGATAATACATATTCTCTTACTGGTAATCAACACTCATTTAGTCCACAAGTTTTACCAGCTTTTACAGGTTCTTCATATTCCACAAATCAGTATGGTACCAATACAAAGCCTAATCATAATAATCAGTTTCCTATAAATAGATTACGCAATTCAGATAGTAAGTTCATATGGTTTATTTTACATTTCTTTTAACCTTAGTTTTTTTAACAAAAATGTTATAGTGCACCATATTTTGGTGAAGCAAAATGAAGTAGAAATTCTCTCGATTAATATTTATTTATATGTAGAATGTCATCATTTATGAGTAGCTTTGGATCAGAATTATAGATGATTTTTCGGTTGTTGGAAATAGATGATCCTGTAATAGTTTTTATTTATTTATTTGCCGTTCTAAGATGAGACCACATGTTACGTGGAAAGCATTCTAAGTGTTTGATGATACATAATAAGAGAATGACATTTGGATAGAGAAGAAAGAAATTCATTATACTCCATTTTAAGTAGTTAATTATCTATGATACTTGTCAAGGGAACACTAATAAAAGTGGTATTCAAAGTCAAAATGCTAGAAAACAAATTTCCCTTTAGTTTGACATCTATTCTTAAAAGTAAATTCATTTATGACAAACGAGTTGTGGCGAAATATGATAAAAACTGTTTAGGATTGTTACAGTCCCGAAACATCCATCTTACTTTACGAATTTACAATACCTGTTTTTATTTTAAAACTGATAGTCAATTCATGTTTCATTACGACTTCATTTGCTTCATAGATTATTTAACAATTAGTGTCAGCAATTTTTTAAAATATAAATTGTATATACTGTTAGTTGAAACTTATTAGCTGTTCTTCAAACCTCTATTGTATTTCTTGTGTGTTCTTATACTCACTGTTATAGAGTTCTGGCTTGGAAGCTTACCCAGAAGATGAATAACAGTTTATTATTTGAAAATAAATTTTAGATATATACTCATCTGTATTCCTTATGATAAGTGAATATATATTCATTATGTTTCAAGCATCTGTCAGGTATTACTGATATATTTCAAAAATAATATGACTACTGAAAGATTACTACTTATCCCTAACAGGCTCATATAATTTCTTTATCGATAAATTTCTCTATGAATACCTTGACGCTTATAGACAACTAAAGAAAAATTGATTACCCATAAATTCTAGATATTCTTTTTTATTCTCACTATTTATATTAACCTGTAATTTCAATAATTATTGTAATAATAAATTTTCTATGGCCTATCTTAAAAGGTTTAGCTCTTACTTCTTGACGAAAAATAAATATAATTTATTATCTTGTACATTTTTGCTTTTCTATTAACAAGTAAAAAACAATACTGAAATATACAGTTAAACAATACTTGAACTAATTAGTACATTACAGATATTTCAGGTCATAAGTAAACTGCTAAAATATGACACAACCGTTTGCTATGTTCATGTTCGAGATACTATATTCTATACTTTTGTTATATTTAGTTTGGATACCCAATGTTTTAGATTGCCTAGACCTGATTATATTTGGAAGATTTACTAAAATAATAGAAAATAACAATGATATTTAAATATTACTTTCATAAACATCATACACTCTTAAAAACAGCTATCAGGTTTCTTCAATGATGCTGTCAGTTACTAGTTAGATTCATTAAATTATGTCATAAATTCCAACATATTACTTACTGGGTAATTTTGGCTTATAAATCTATCAAAATGTTGTTGGATAACAGTGAAATAAATCTATCCAGCTAGTTTGTATTCACAATTAGTAAATAATTTGCAAGTTATTTATGTATAGTGATTTTTTTGTAAAAATCAAGTCTCAAATTCATTTTAATGCTTCAATTTAATGTTATTCTGCTGAATGAGCCAATCGGATCATTTACATGAATTAGATCAACTCAAACTCAACCGAACAATGCAAAACTGCCACTTGTAAATATCAACGTTGCACACCCCATAATAGCAGTTTAAGAATTTGTCGTATGATCATTTCTCTACGTTGTTGTGGTGACAGTCGTGAATCTGTCCTAAATTCCCTTGATATAGGTTCTTTCACGTGGCTATATTTTCTTTCCTTATGCGTAAAATTATTCCATCAACTATCTATATAAATGTGTTTTGTGTTAACCTTTTGATCTATCTGAAATTATTATTTTGTTATTGTTTTAAGGTTTTGATTCTTTTTCGTTTTTTTAATGACGATAATAGATTTTGTTCTAGTTAACTTCATATCCTGGCGACTGTTATGTTGGGTGGACTAGTTCTTGACTATTATTGTTTGATTTGATTAAACTGATTTATAAGGAAAGGATATAAACTTCTTCATTATTGTTGGGAATGTTTACTTTTGCTGACAAGTAATTTGTTGTGCGATCCTTGAATTTTCATGTAATTATTATCTTTTGGTTCAATTGGTTAACTCTGGTATAAATTGGATTTTTCGCGTAAACGGTAGTTCCCTGATGGACAAAGACAGCTCCTTACATTGACAAGTAGTTGTTGTGCATATTAACACAATCGGTTTCTTAATTTGATCCCCCGTATTTTTGTGGGTATAAAATGGTTTTGTAGACCTAATCAAATACTGTTCAGGTACTGTAAAGTTAATAATGATAGTAACAGTAATCATATTAATTTACTGGAAAATAACCACTACTTACGTAAAACATACCGATTCACAGGGCGAGATCAGATTGTTAAAAATTTTTACGAAATTTATTGTAAAAAAACTAGACTACCCAGTTCACGTTTTGCGTTGTAACGAGAGTTTCGCCACAGAAATAGGATAACAAATATCGGTGCATAAAATACGTTTGATGAAATTGAAACGGAAATGCACGGCGTCAACGTTAGTGCATTGTGTAGATTTTGTAATTCAAGGATGAACTGTTATCTGAAAATAATCCAGATATGGTACAGTGATCTTACAGTTAATAGTCCACATTTCTGCATATAGTTTGTTATCTCTTGTTACTGGTCTATAAGTAGTTGCTATAACAGGCTTTTGGAGAAAGAATTCCTGCTGGAAGTACAATGTAAGGCGTATGTCCTATTTGAATTTTCTGGAAGTATACTTCGAGTGTTGTGTCACGATATTGTATTAAATAGTAACATATGAGATGTTCTGAGCATCTTTTCCATCGATTCGCTTGTTCACACTGACTCGGTAGGACCATTGTTATCATGAAATTCGGTGTTGTATTGAGACAGGTCTATACTGGTGTGCGTCCATCTATAAGAAGAAAAATATGAGAAACTGAGCGAGTGACCAAATATATGTAGATATGTCCTGTGAAACACAATATACTTTTGTCCTATTTTTCTGACTTATCTGTCTGTGTGGTAGGCAGTGATTCATCATAAGTAACACATGTTCCAACTATCTCAGTTAATGAAGATTAACTACCTCATCAATCGATTTCACAATTTTGCATATGTACCTACCCTTAACCCAAGTATTGCTTACTCAGTGGTCCCGAAATACATTAGTGATGCTCCGAAGATATCTATGGTTCATAAACTAAAACCCTGCCAGTATACTCTATTCTTAATGGTCATGCTTCACATCCATAAAATGGAAAGGAGAAACCTCTTTCATAATAAATTTGCTCTCTGTTTGGAAGACAGATATCCCGCTTACACTACAAGTGACTTAGGTTAACAAAAACCAGTCTAGCCTTCTGAGTCCGTGTCGGTACCCCTCCAGACACCGAACAACCAGTCCCGATGACACTTTCAAGACACGTGAAGCGGTCGACATCACTGCCCATCACTAATTCCGTCAATCTCAATGACATTTTACATTTGAAGGGGTAGAATCGCATTTCGAGCATGCTTGTATTGTTGCTTAAAGTGTTTAAAAAACCTGCATTGTGTAAACATGTTCACTAAACAGTCAACAAGTCTCCTGGCAAGAGAATTTAACAGAAAGTGGATAATCTTGACGAACAACACTTGAAGTAACCAATTCCGATGACAAATTGCCACACGCTCTGACTCGATCTGAAGTGTCCGAGTACAGATCCTGTACAAAGTTAATAATTTTCTTTCGCACTATTTTCGAAGACAGACAATTCCACAGAACCTCACGAACAACAAGCTGTACGATACATTAAGGCCAAGGAATACAACTATAGTTGGACGTTGAAAAGTATGTCCATGTCCCAGGAGCTGCCAAGGGTGAATATTTGATCTACGTATCCATATTCAGATCTAAAACCAACCTGATTTTCTCAAATTCGTTTTAATTAAGCCCTAATTAGACGTCGAAATATTATTGAGGCTAATGATCTAGACATTAAATTAGTTGAGCTGACTCCTTTTTGTATGTCATCAGAGGATTTTTGTCCCTTCTTGTAGATTGCAACGATAAGCGATCAAGTCTAGTCAGATGAGATTACGGCCGGTTACCAGATTTTAGACAATATTTTAGTTAATCCTACAGCCAAAATTGGACCACCATCTCACGGACTGGAACAACAGGCCCTGAGGCTCTCCCCCGCTTTATATCACTTATGTCCTCAATCTCACTAAAATTCGGCGGATTTGTGTAAGTTTGTCATTCAGGTTGCTTGGAGACAGCAGGTAACTGAAGTTTAACTGTTCTGTCCATCGGTTCAAAGCCAGATAAATAAGTTCCCAAGCACCTAACAACTCAGCAGACATCGCTGAAATCAAATAATTTTTCCTAACATTTCAGTTTAGCTTGCTATTACACATCAATGCTGTTTTTATAATCTTCCGTATATCATGCCAAACTATCTCAGTTTAGATGCCGTTTCAATGGTTGACTGGATCATTCTCTAGCTGCCCCTGAAATATATTCCTATTATTTTGTAGTAGGCGTCGAGTAGCGGTTGACTGTGGTCATCATCACAGATCGGATAAACGGATTATTTGATTAGTATAAAAATTCGATGGAACATTCGTCTTGAATTCATCAGTATAGGGTTGTGGAGATCGCTGAGTTTCAATTGAGATCATGAACCGATCAGTGTTCGACAACCACTGGAAACTTGGAAGCACTGGACGGCCGTTTCGTCATAGTACGTGACCTCTCAGCAGTGTGCATCAACGATCTCCACACGGGACTCGAGCCCATGACGTTCAGTCTCGCGCGCAACCACTCAACCTCTAGACCACTGAACCAACATCCGACGGCGTTAATGTCTAACTTCCACCGATCCACGATGTTGTGCAGCCATCGTCTTGAATTCGATTCAACAAAATAATCGTCATTACTTCTGACAGTAGTCATGATGTCATGTTCTGTTTTGCCTCGTTATCCAATCACTTACGTACTTCTAAACGCTTGGCCAGTCAGCTATCTTAATAGAGAAGGCAAATACTTCATGAAATGCTGTGCTGTTGAATCTAAATAATACTTGAGTTTACATAAGTCATTGGATGACATGATCATCTGGGTGGTAACTTTGACTTGATTACAATAGCTTGTTCAGACTTGTATCCTCAACCTACTAAACGTAAGATAGCATTTGATTCACTTGAACTTACCGGTCATATCACGCCCTTCTTTAGAAAGTATGTACTCCGCTTAAGTCACATTCATCCAGGTAAATTACATTTACTAGTAGCTATTGTTCTCTGTTGACTGTCAGGTCGGAGGGACAAAACAAATTTCTTCTGACTGAATGCATGCGTTTAAATCTCTTATAACCATGACTCTGCAACATATGTGAACTTCACTCTGCACATAGCTACTGCGTTCGTCCAGGAGTGTTTGGGCTACAAAATAATTTTTATCAGGTAACTAATTTGAATTGACCATTGATGCGAATGTTATCTGATTTCATGTGTCCCTGGTCTCTAAAATAATATTTAAACCCAGTAATTGGATGATCAATTTTAATAAGACACTTCTTGAAGCCAAGTCAGTTCAGAAGTGTTTA